ATCTGGAGAACGATAGAATATCTGAAGAACGGGAGAATATCTGGAGATTTGGAGAATATCTGCAGTACTGGAGAATATCTGGAGACCGGGAGAATATATAGAGAATGGAAGAATATCTGGAGAACGGGAGAATAATTGAAGAACGGGAGAATATTTTTAAAACGGAGAATATCTGGAGCACGGCAGAGTATCTGAAGAACGGAAGAATATCTAGAGAATGGGAGAATATCTGAAGAACGGGAGAATATATAAAGAATGGGAGAATATCTGAAGAACGGGAGAATATCGGGAGAACGGGAGAATATCTGGAGTACGGGAGAATATATAGAGAATGGGAGAATATCTGGATACCGGGAGAATATTTTGAGAACGGAGAATATCTGGAGCACGGAAGAATATCTGAAGAACAGTAGAATATATAGAGAATGGGAGAATATCTGAAGAATGGGAGAATATCTGGAGAACCGGATAATATCTTGAGTACGGGAGAATATCTGGAGTGCGGGAGAAAATCTCGAGAATGGGAACATATCTGAAGAACGGGAGAATATCTGGAGAAACATATCCGACTTTGAAACAGCAAATCTGATTCAGATGTCTGACTTATTACTCAAACATAACTCTTTGAAAAAGTACTTTCGTAGTGGAAATGATACAAATGGAACGAAGGGTTACTACTGTATTGAAATGTACAACAACAACATTACAATGGGTAGGTGAACCCCGGTTTGGAGTATGGTGATATCACTATTTGCTTGCAGAAATTACGACTTTCAATTTGTAACATCAGAAAATGGACATAACTCTTGTTATATCTGTTACAGTGATATGGCTTCTATTGTATATGTTGTCAAAATAATATGTTATACATATAACATTGTATATGTTGACAATGGGATGTTTTGTAATTATTATAATCCTTTGCTGTTATTTTATATCTATAGAAACTAACCTTCAAAAGGAGAGTGTCGCAAAGTTTTCTGAATGCTCAATTTTTCAATTTTCAATTTTTCATTTCATTTAAAAAGTTAAATATGATTTACAGGAATAAGCACCAGTAACAACTACATTTACATTTACGATTTACATACACATACAATAGTAAGCAAGATTTATATGACTAAACTGTAGTTACAAAACTGGTACTCTTCATATTGATTTGTGGGTAGTGATATTACGCAACGGTAACAAATATCTTTCTTCTTTTTGTTTCTTACATGTATTTATGTATTTTATGCAAACTCTTTAAGATATGTCATAACCTTTGTTTATACTTGTCAACAATACTTTTCGGCAACGTTAACAAATATTAAATTAATTTTTGCTACTTTGTTTAAGTACATTTGAGCCGCGTCGCGACAAAACTTGTGAGTCGTTTACAATTTATTTTGAAAGGACTTGCAACATAAATAATTATCTGTAGCATTAATTTTTAATATTGCACACATTAGTCACGCGTTCGCTCGATTCCTGTTTGAACGTTTATAATAAGCATATTATTAAGAGATCTTGTATTTCATTTATGCAATTTATTGGAAGGGAGACAACCTTGGCATGTCATTTTGTACCTATTCATAATAGTTATCTCCCTTTAAAAACCAGTTTTTTGTGTTTTTTGTTGTTGTTGTTTTTTTTGTTTTTTTATTATTATTATTTCTTTTTTGAGTTATTTTCCACCATAAAATTTTAGCTTAAAAAACTAAGAAAACGTTACACGTTTAAAATATATGTTACAATGGATATTATAAATAATTTCCTACTCTTCTATACACCCACTCCAAGGTTGTTTTTTTACCATATTTCATACAGGAATTCCATAAGATAGCCACTGTTGATATTAATACCCCAACACACAATTGTCAAATTAGCAAATCTTTCTTGAAATATCAACAGAAATCAAAATTACTAACACACTAACAAACACCATACCGTTAATGTATGTTTAATTAGCTAAAGATACGTACAGACATTTTCAGTGATCAAATGGCAGATATTTCCAATCACAAGTCTATTGTGCGAGTTAGCAAGTTCATTAAATGATAAATAAAAAATTAACGATTATACTCTCCAAACTTCATTTCAATGTGTTTTCATATGAAATGAAACAGACACAATCTACTGATTACATGGTCTTTACTTGTAATGCAAATAGGATATTTTCCTCTCTCTTACGTCCTTGAAGATTGTGTGCTAATTCTCAGACAGAATATAACAAAAATTATAACGGAGTTTCTACAATATCTAAATCAAATTTGTATAAATATATTATGCCTTGGCATATTATGGTGGCATATTTCTGCCACCAGATCACCATAAAACTAACTAGTTAATTAAGAGGTTAACTAGTTATGTAACTAGTTAACCTCTTAATTTAACTAGTTATTTATGTGGTTAACTAGTTACATAATTAGTTAATCTTTTCAGTAAATAAAAGATCATAACGGGAAACTAGTTAGTTATATGGTTATCTGGTGACAGAAATATGCCACCATAGCATATAAAATTACATTTAGAAATCAACACTGGAATTATACGAGAGTGTTAAAATTAGTGATATAACAAGAATACAAAGAATCGTTTACGACGTAAGCTAGTGTAATTTGACGTGATTTATAAAGAACTGTTATTTCAACAATATTAAATTTGTCATGTCTTCAAATATTTAATTTGAAATGACAACAGGCGGCACCGCTTGATAAAACGCCCTGGATTCTCGATGCTAATAACGTTAACATAAAACAAATAAATAATGTTCAATCAAAGCTAGTGTACATTTTGTTTCATATGTACAAGCAGAAAGGTATTGATTAAAATGTAACATCCACTGTTGATTAATTTCATTTCATTTCATCAAGAATTGGTAAATATGGTAAATATCGCTTTTTACATTGCTAAAGTTAGACTTACTGTTTAAATATAAATGAAAAAAAAGCATCCTAATATACATGGCCTTAGCACATACTTATACCTCACAATATTTACAGCAACAAAAATATTTTTCACAATTCACTGTAATATTTCCAGATGAAAAGGGTATTAAAATAAGAGTTGTTGACATTTATTTAATATCAAAATGTGTGTCTTTCCTGAAAAAAAATGTAGAACCCTTAAAAAACAAAGAACCAAAACTTGCGAACATATTTCTCAATAAGTTTGTTGAGTTAGTATATACGATTTTAGTTCGACTGTGTTGGAAGCTTTAAGCCTCTTGAAACACTCTCGAATCTGTTCATGGAACCAGCCAGTACTAGCAATGAGTGTAATGTTTCTAGCTCATGGAATCCACGCAGCCAGCAATCCTTAGATTAATACCCGATTTCATCATCGTCGTTCCGTCAACGCAAATTAGACGTCATTTCGTTAAGGACAAAAAAAACAAGAAACAAAAAGAATCAAAAACTAGTTAAAGCAAGTTTAATAAGTGAACATAATGATTATATTGCAAAAAAAAAAAAAAAAAAAAAAACAGATCAAAACAAGAAAATGTGTACATGTATATCGCAGTTAATCATATTAGAATCACAATTGAATAATTCTTTAAATATTTACAGTTCAGTTGTTAAAAAAGAACATTTTATCGAATACTTTTAACATATTCATGGCTAGAAAACATAGCCGGCATCTCCAGAATAATCCTTGCTGTTCACTTTATGTAGTGACATGATAAAATCTACCCTTTTCTGTTCTAACATATCTTTCGTACCGTTTTTAGGATAATAAATCATTCTCCTACCTTTAAAACATTAAACTTGCACTTCAATAAGATCGCATCATAAGCTTTTTCATTTTAAATCTGATTGAAAAACCTATAAACCTGTATACAGTCATGAAGGTTTGCAATAAATGATAAACAAGTCCACTATCAGATTCTGCATATTGCAATTGGAACTAAAATAGTTCAAGCTGCAGCAATTACCCGAGAACAAACGTCTAAAAATGTACCACAATTGAAGTTATATAGTGCTATATAGAGATATATAGATTTTTATCACAGGGAAACATCAAGAGAAATAACTGCACGTTTTAAGTACACCTGACATTAGATGAAATAAAAATCATTAGTAGCATATGTTACTATATTGCACACGTTTATCTCCGATGAAAGAAATATGTACTACAAAGCACTTACAGTCAACTATCGTTATCTCGACATCGCTTTTCTCGATATTTCGTTATCTCGATGAAATTTTGAAAGTCCCGATTTTCTTCCTTCTTTATTTATATTGGAAATATTTGTTTATCTCGATATTTTTATTTCGATATTTTCAGTATCTCAATGTAAAATTTCAGCCCCAACAGTTATTTTCACACTATTATCCTTTGTTTATCTCGACTAAAAGTTTTCTTTCATCTGTTCCCTTCAGACGTGTGAAAAATAAAAACTAGACGATAATTGCTCAATAGCGCGTGTCATAATGATTATTATGTTTGTAACAAGTTTAGCTGTTTTTATAAAAGTTAATCTATTTAGCATGTTGATTGACATGTCCAAAATGAGTGAATTTTACGTTCTTTATAAATATTCGAACACTGTATCAATTCATTATGACTTTAAATGTAAATGAAATAGTGAAAGTATAGAAACGCTATCGTTGCAATATTGTTTCACAACATCAAAACCAAATTAATCAGCGGTCGAACAATCTCGAGAAAGACCCAATAACTAACCCGGGAGGATATCCGGATCAACCACCCTGAAAACAATGATTTCACTATATTGGTGTATTACTGAGTAAACCTCACTATGTGTTTTTATCACAGATACCCGTATTTCCGCTGGTAAACATCCGCTAATGTTACTTTGTTAAATATTGACTAGGCCTATGAAAACAAGACATGGCGATATCAAAGTTTATTTGACATAAGGTATGCACATATGTCTTTTGTAAAAATCAGTTTCTGCCTTATTCAAACCCTAATATGTTTATCTCGACATTTCGTTATCTCGATATTTTTTGGACGGTCCCGATGACTTCGAGATACCGAGAGTCGACTGTATATTGCAATTAAAAAATGATGAGAATAGCTGTGAACATTTAATTGCTCTATTACACTGCTGTCAGGTATATACTGCTAGAACAATTTAAGAATTATGGCGCTATACACAAAGACTTTTGTTATTTACACCTTACACAAAGCATTAACAATTCCTGTTGCTATTATTATTGTACCTGTGGTTGGAATTTTGTAAAATTCCCTCGTTCATTTTGATATTCTTTTGATTTGAGTAAAAATATTCTTAATTTCTTTTCAGTTGGAAAAAATGTGTAAATACAAGAAAAAGTTATAGCCGTAGTTAGTTATTTATTGTCTCTTTTTATCAAATTCTAACATCCGGGTATCTCTTGCAGCTTCCCATTTTTTCAACTCATCTTCTACGCATCACCGCTTTCATAAGTTTATCAATGTCACCGTGTATTCTACTTCCGCATGCATCACCGTTTTCATCCGGGCGACTGCAGTGTTCGTCATATTGCGTCCCTTGTCTAAAATGTATTACATTGTGAATATATTTATTTACTCTTTGTTTATGACAACACACCTAAGTCAATGTAAATGAAAATGACATGAACAAATAGATATTTCTTTAAAAGAAAATGCCATTACCATGAATCTTTATTAAACAGGAAAAATACTTTGAAAATTAAATTCAGGACCTTAGTATGATTTTAAAAAGATATCTAGATTTATTTCTGTCATAAAGCACCACGATTGATTTTCTAGACTTAACAAATGAGCAATTCATTCATGTCATTAGATCTATAAGTTTATCTCCAAAATTGTTATCTTAATTGATGAAAAGCATTTTTGCAGGTTTTTTTTTTAAACATTCAAAAGTAAATTAATATGGAAGTGAAAATTACAAAAAACACATCTTGGTTGCATTTAATAGCAAGTCATAATTCTAAAATCAGTCTTGAGACCAAAACTTAAACACAACTGCGTTTTAAAGAAAACGTCCAAACATATAATTCCTATGCTTTGACTCCTTCAATATCTTCTCTTTTTTTAAAATAACATATGACAGATTAAAGCCATGTATTTCATTGTCTTTTTTCACTCTTATGAGGAGAATGAATTTTATTGAAGTCTAAAGTCTTTGACTACAAATAAAATTCTTCATTGAAACGGTTTAAGTTAGCTCTAGAAATAGTCTCACTCTCACTTGCTAAGGATTCACTGAGGACAATCCTGGCCTTATCTTTAAAACAAGAAAACTTCAGACTGTTTTGATTTTAGAACATCATACCCAGAACGTATATAGCGGGGTATTGATGGATCATTTCTTAAAATATCACTCTATGTATGGAAAGGCAAAATCTGTAAACAATTTAATGGCTCATAAGCTTCGGCTTTTGCAAATTTACAAAGTTCCTATTCGGGAAAACATCTAAATATTCCCAGTTCGTTTTGCTTCATACTTGAATGATCTTGATGATTTCGCTTCAAGAAAATTTGCATTTTGCATTTTTTTTTATTTCAGTGCAACAGACGACAATTAGCTTGCTATTAGGACGATAAATATTTCCTGCAATTTTCTTTAACTATAGGTTAATTTCATAATAAAACATGACTACAAAGTTTAGAAAAGTACAGCACTCACCTATTACATATCACCAGGCGTATAGGCTTCCTCCCCATCTCTACAAGACTACTAGCAGGTGTTACCATCAACGTTGAACCCAGACAGAACACTATATCCGCCTTCTTTGCATTTTCCTCTGCACTGTTTAATATCGGACTCTCCAGGTAATCCCAAAAGTTAATGATTGTGTTCATCATATAACCGACCTGTTTTAACTTTACCTCCTTTAGCACCTGAATTTGTAACATCAAATATAATTTAGGCACACTATGCCTTAGAAAACCATATTGTTTTACTCTTACTTTAGAAATGTAAAACAATTTGTTTTATCATGTTTAAATAATGGATAAAGTTGGTGTAAGATGTGTTTATAACTGACAATGTAGCGCTGAACATGCAGGGTTCAAAAAGTTTTTGAGAAATAGAAATGATAACAATTCCGAGACATAATAGGCATTTAATACCTTTATCGATGTTTCGTAACAAATAATTATCATTACAAAAACCCCCTCAAAACTAATTTTTTATTATTGAATTTAACTTATTATAATTTGTTTTGATATGCCAGAGTAATTCTTAATATTATGTTAATAGCAAACGCATTTTTATTGTAACTATGGTTTCATTTGTAGATAAGAAACTCACTACATTCAATGTAATTTTCCGTATGAAATTTCATAAAGTTTTTACATTTATCATTATCATTTAAACAAAATATTTAATAACGTTAATTCAATATGTTAGATATACATTTATTTTATGCTTTTCAGAGGATTACTGATTTATCCGTGAAAATTATATTTGATAATTTCACAGTGAAAATTATCAAAATATAATTTCACACTTTTCAATGACGAAACTACTTTTTTTAAGATTTTCATACTTTTCCAAACAAACTGTATATATGGATCGTTTAAATCTAATTTAACAAACTTATTGAGGTTCTGAAATTTTAAAAAAGTTCTTTTATTGTTAACCTCTCTAAATATGTATGAAATATCAATAACATCGCAACTTTGTGCTATATTAAAGAATATACTTTTACAATATGGTGTCAAATCTGCGTTTGAAGGTCCATTATGTCTCTTTTTTATTATTCTAAAACGTTCCTTATTTGGGTATCCTGGTACAATTTTATACCATACTCATTTGCCATATAAATGAACTTTTACTTGTTTTGCTCTATCATGTCTATTGGGTATAATCATTTTGTATAGAAGCCACTCTGTACCTTTAAGATACGTTGCTGTACATTCAGCGCAAATTCCATTAGTTGCTTAACATCTAATGTGCTCTAAATCAATTATTGAAAGAGAGAATACCTGAAGGACAGGAGAATATCTGGAGAACGGGAGAACATCTGGAGAACGGGAGAATATCTGGAAAACGGGAGAATATCTGAAGAATGGGAGAATATCTGGAGAACGGGAGAATATCTGAAGAACGTGAGAATATCTGAAAAACGGGAGAATATCTGGAGAACGGGAGAATATCTTGAGACCGGGAGAATATATAGAGAATGGGAGAATATCTGGAGACCGGGAGAATATTTGAAGAACGGGAGAACATCTGGAGTACGGGAGAATATCTGGAAAACTGGAGAATATCTGGAGACCGGGAGAATATTTGAAGAACGGGAGAATATTTTTAGAACGGAGAATATCTGGAGCACGGGAGAATATCTAGAGAATGGGAGAATATCTGGAGACCGGGAGAATATTTGAAGAACGGGAGAAAATTTTTAGAACGGAGAATATCTGAAGAACGGGAGAATATCTAGAGAATGGGAGAATATCTGGAGAACGGGAGAATATTTGAAGAACGGGAGAATATATTTAGAACGGAAAATATCTGGAAAACGGGAGAATATCTTGCGAACGGGAGAATATTTGAAGAACGGGAGAATATTTTTAGAACGGAGAATATCTGAAGAACGGGAGAATATCTAGAGAATGGGAGAATATCTGGAGAACGGGAGAATATTTGAAGAACGGGAGAATATTTTTAGAACGGAGAATATCTGAAGCACGGGAGAATATCTGAAGAACGGGAGAATATCTTGAGAACGGGAGAATATCTGGAGAAAGGGAGAAAATTTGAAAAACGGGATAATATCTTGAGAACGGGAGAATATCTGGAAAACGGGAAAATATCTGAAGAATGGGAGAATATCTGGAGAATAGGAGAACATCTGAAGAACTGGAGAACATCTGGAGAACGGGAGAATATCTGCAGTACGGGAGAATATCTTGAAAACGGGAGAATATATAGAGAATGGGAGAATATCTGGAGAACGGGAAAATATTTGAAGAACGGGAGAATATCTGGAGTACAGGAGAATATCTGGAAAACGGGAGAATATCTGGGGAACGGGAGAATATTTGAAGAACGGGAGAATATTTTTAGAACGGAGAATATATAGAGCACGGGAGAATATCTGAAGAACGGGGGAATATCTAGAGAATGTGAGAATATCTGAAGAACGGGAGAATATCTAGAGAACGGGAGAATATATAGAGAATGGGAGAATATCTGGAAAACGGGAGAATATCTGGGGAACGGGAGAACATCTGGAGTACGGGAGAATATATAGAGAATGGGAGAGTATCTGGAAAACGGGAGAATATCTGGAGAACGGGAGAATATCTGGAGTACGGGAGAATATATAGAGAACGGGAGAATATCTGGAAAACGGGAGAATATCTGGAGAACGGAGAATATCTGGAGTACGGGAGAATATATAGAGAATGGGAGAATATCTGGAGACCGGGAGAATATTTGAAGAACGGGGAAATATTTTGAGAACGGAGAATATCTGGAGCACGGAAGAATATCTGAAGAATGGGAGATATCTGGAGAATGGGAACATATCTGGACAAACATATCAGACTTTGAAACAGCAAATCTGATTCAGATGTCTGACTTATTACTCAAACATAACTCTTTGAAAAAGTACTTTCGTAGTGGAAATGATGCAAATGGAACGAAGGGATACTACTGTATTAAAATGTACAACAACAACATTACATGGGTAGGTGAACACCGGTTTGGAGTATGGTTATATCACTATTTGCTTGCAGAAATTACGACTTTCAATTTGTAACATCAGAAAATGGACATAACTCTTGTTGTTATATCTGTTAGAGTGATATGGCTTCTATTGTATATGTTGTCAAAATAATATGTTATACATGTAACATTGCATATGTTGACAATGGGATGTTTTGTAATTATTATAATCCTTTGCTGTTATTTTATATCTATAGAAACTAACCTTCAAAAGGAGAGTGTCGCAAAGTTTTTTGAATGCTCAATTTTTCAATTTTCAATTTTTCATTTCATTTAAAAAGTTAAATATGATTTACAGGAATAAGCACCAGTAACAACTATATTTACATTTACGATTAAAATACACATACAATAGTAAACAAGATTTATATGACTAAACTGTAGTTACAAAACTGGTACTCTTCATATTGATTTGTGGGTAGTGATATTACGCAACGGTAACAAATATCTTTCTTCTTTTTGTTTCTTACATGTATTTATGTATTTTATGCAAACTCTTTAAGATATGTCATAACCTTTGTTTATACTTGTCAACAATACTTTTCGGCAACGTTAACAAATATTAAATTAATTTTTGCTACTTTGTTTAAGTACATTTGAGCCGCGTCGCGACAAAACTTGTGAGTCGTTTACAATTTATTTTGAAAGGACTTGCAACATAAATAATTATCTGTAGCATTAATTTTTAATATTGCACACATTAGTCACACGTTCGCTCGATTCCTGTTGAACGTTTATAATAAGCATATTATTAAGAGATCTTGTATTTCATTTATGCAATTTATTGGAAGGGAGACAACCTTGGCATGTCATTTTGTACCTATTCATAATAGTTATCTCCCTTTAAAAACCAGTTTTGTGTGTGTTTTTTGTTGTTGTTGTTTTTTTTGTTTTTTTATTATTATTATTTCTTTTTTGAGTTATTTTCCACCATAAAATTTTAGCTTAAAAAACTAAGAAAACGTTACACGTTTAAAATATATGTTACAATGGATATTATAAATAATTTCCTACTCTTCTATACACCCACTCCAAGGTTGTTTTTTTACCATATTTCATACAGGAATTCCATAGCTAGCCACTGTTGATATTAATACCCCAACACACAATTGTCAAATTAGCCAATCTTTCTTGAAATATCAACAGAAATCAAAATTACTAACACACTAACACACACCATGCCGTTAATGGATGTTTAATTAGCTAAAGATACGTACAGACATTTTCAGTGATCAAATGGCAGATATTTCCAATCACAAGTCTATTGTGCGAGTTAGCAAGTTCATTAAATGATAAATCAAAAATTAACGATTATACTCTCCAAACTTCATTTCAATGTGTTTTCATATGAAATGAAACAGACACAATCTACTGATTACATGGTCTTTACTTGTAATGCAAATAGGATATTTTCCTCTCTCTTACGTCCTTGAAGATTGTGTGCTAATTCTCAGACAGAATATAACAAAAATTATAACGGAGTTTCTACAATATCTAAATCAAATTTGTATAAATATATTATGCCTTGGCATATTATGGTGGCATATTTCTGCCACCAGATCACCATAAAACTAACTAGTTAATTAAGAGGTTAACTAGTTATGTAACTAGTTAACCTCTTAATTTAACTAGTTATTTATGTGGTTAACTAGTTACATAATTAGTTAATCTTTTCAGTAAATAAAAGATCATAACGGGAAACTAGTTAGTTATATGGTTATCTGGTGACAGAAATATGCCACCATAGCATATAAAATTACATTTAGAAATCAACACTGGAATTATACGAGAGTGTTAAATTAGTGATATAACAAGAATACAAAGAATCGTTTACGACGTAAGCTAGTGTAATTTGACGTGATTTATAAAGAACTGTTATTTCAACAATATTAAATTTGTCATGTCTTCAAATATTTAATTTGAAATGACAACAGGCGGCACCGCTTGATAAAACGCCCTGGATTCTCGATGCTAATAACGTTAACATAAAACAAATAAATAATGTTCAATCAAAGCTAGTGTACATTTTGTTTCATATGTACAAGCAGAAAGGTATTGATTAAAATGTAACATCCACTGTTGATTAATTTCATTTCATTTCATCAAGAATTGGTAAATATGGTAAATATCGCTTTTTACATTGCTAAAGTTAG